TTATAACCCTAAATTACTTAGCAATCGTAAATTAGCTAGGATACAAAGCTAATCGTCGCAATCGGTAAAGAACAAAAAAAAACTGCTGATGAAATGTCGACTGAGTCGTAAAAATAAAACAATCCGAGCATTCTCGCAGACGCAAATATATTGACTAATATATTTGCATATTATGTATAGATGATATGTGGATTTAAATATATATGGATTGAAATTGCTTGAAGCTAAATAAAATGGTTTTGTTTGGTTGACATCATTTTGTTATTTCGAATCGGGAACCAAAAAACAGAATTTGAAAAAAGTCTACAGTATTTTACACTTGCTTGTCCCTTCTAATTTGTATACTATATGTGTATTGACAGCACATATATTATGGTTCTTATTATTTATATAAGTAAACAACATTTTATTGATTATCTTTCTAAATCAAATTTACTACAAATACTCATAGTGAGCAAGTTTAATCAGATTTTTTCTTCACTGGTATTGGTAAACCAAAGAAAGTCTTATGTATCCATAACATTCGGAATAACTAAATTCTCATAAATGTCAGTTACAATATACGATGTGCAAGAATGGGTGTCATGTCCCTCCAACACAAGGGGAGTATCCTCCGACCAGGCGAGGTGACCATGCCTGGCCACGGCCCAACGGTTTACGTTAGAATATTTCGTATCGCGATACAGGATTTAGTTAGATGACATTGTGGTATATTTCTTCGATTCACCGTATGTGAAATCCGTCACATGACATATCTTTTTATGATTGGTGCAAAAATTGTGAAAACTATCGATTGGAATTTCAGCTATAAGTTTTTCAAGTAATGTTAAATAAATAAATGAAACTATAACTATGACTGTCAAATAACTAATTTACTTGAAATGTTATCTAAGTCAAACTCGAGCTCCATGTAGCATGAAGCTGAAGCTAGCCGACGTAGCTAGCCGACGGACATAGCCTGCGTAGTATATGGCACGCCCCTCAAATTGAGTTTTTTTTTAATGAACAAAGAAAGCAAACAGTCATTTTCCTGCATCAAATTACTATACAATGAACCAGGGACTTTTAAGATTAAAAAAATATATTTAAACAATCATATTAAATGAATAAACGCTGTTTATTAGCGAAAACTCGAGTTTCTTTTCTCGATGGAAAATTTGTCCTAACTTTTTTCACAAAAATAGGATTGCTTTCTAATTTTGTATATTTAATGTCTAAGTATCATACAATAATATCAAATTACTTTTACGTTGGCAGAAAAGTTATAATTTTTATTATTAAATGAACAATCAGCCACGACTTACGATAAATTGAACGATTCGATGAAAAACCTGGTGTAACTCTGTTCACAACAATAGGATTGCTTTCAAATTTTGTATAGTTAATGCCTAAGTATCCTACAATAATACCAAATTACTTTTACGTTGGCAGAAAAGTTATAGTTTTTATTATTAAATAAACAATCAGACATGACTTACGATAAATTGACCGATTCGACAAAAAACCTGATGTAACTCTGTTCACAACAATAGGATTGCTTTCAAATTTTGTATAGTTAATGCCTAAGTATCATACAATAACACCAAAGTACTTTTACGTTGGCAGAAAAGTTATAATTTTTATTATTAAATGAACAATCAGACATGACTTACGATAAATTGACCGATTCGACGAAAAACCTGATGTAACTCTGATTACAACAATAGGATTGCTTCCTAATTTTTTATAGTTTATCCCTAAGAGGCGTACAATAATACTAAATAGGTTTTACGTTGGCAGAAAACATAAAATTAACACAATTAATGAGTAAACGTACGTAACTAACAAAAAATACTGAATTTCGATCAAAAACCTGCTGTAACTCGATTCACAAAAATAGGATTGCTTTCAAATTTTGTATAGTTAATGCCTAAGTATCATACCATAATACCAAATTACTTTTACGTTGGCAGAAAGTTATAATTTTTAGTATTAAATGAATTTGAGGGGCGTGCCATATACTACGCAGGCTATGTCCGTCGGCTAGCTCCGTCGGCTAGCTTCAGCTTCATCCATGTAGCATACTATTAAATACTTAATATTATTTAACGGGAATTAACGCGATCTCTTATTTAGGGTATTACATACCTCTGGTTTGCCTGACGTTTCGACCAGGTTGCACCGGCCGTGGTCACAGGCTGACTGGCTCATCGGCGCACGCCCTCCGTCGTCGAATCCGTGAAGTAGAAGGCTCTTCATCTACCCGCACATTTTCGATATTATTTTTGTGTCGCCATGTACCGTCACATACCACACTAACAGTGTCCCTATTCTGTAAGCAAACCGATGAGTCCCTATTCTGGTGTTTAACCGATTGCGCAGAAAAGCGAGGTGGTATGTTTTTTAACACTGGATTCCACGCTGTAGATAATTTAAAACCATCTTCCCGATTGAAAGTTTTATGCTTTTTAATCTCAATCGCTTCACGTACAACTCTTGAGTAAAAGTGACGTTCGGTGGAGAGGACTTGCGTGCGGTGAAATTCAATCCAGTGGTTGATGCCTGCATCGAGTGCATGTTCTGCAATCGCTGATTTGCTCGTCTGTCGGTTCTTCACAGCAGCGATATGCTCTTTGACCCTTTCTGCAATAGTCTATATAATAGTCTAGACTATTGCAGAAAGGGTCAAAGAGCATATCGCTGCTGTGAAGAACCGACAGACGAGCAAATCAGCGATTGCAGAACATGCACTCGATGCAGGCATCAACCACTGGATTGAATTTCACCGCACGCAAGTCCTCTCCACCGAACGTCACTTTTACTCAAGAGTTGTACGTGAAGCGATTGAGATTAAAAAGCATAAAACTTTCAATCGGGAAGATGGTTTTAAATTATCTACAGCGTGGAATCCAGTGTTAAAAAACATACCACCTCGCTTTTCTGCGCAATCGGTTAAACACCAGAATAGGGACTCATCGGTTTGCTTACAGAATAGGGACACTGTTAGTGTGGTATGTGACGGTACATGGCGACACAAAAATAATATCGAAAATGTGCGGGTAGATGAAGAGCCTTCTACTTCACGGATTCGACGACGGAGGGCGTGCGCCGATGAGCCAGTCAGCCTGTGACCACGGCCGGTGCAACCTGGTCGAAACGTCAGGCAAACCAGAGGTATGTAATACCCTAAATAAGAGATCGCGTTAATTCCCGTTAAATAATATTAATTATCATGGAACGCGAAAGTTTAAAAGTTAGTATTAAATACTTGTAACAAGATGCTTTGCAATGTCAGCTGTGTGAAAACAAATGTGTCAGAAATTTCTGTTTTCTCAACAGTAAGTTGACTGGCTTATCATGACACTAGCAAATACGAATACAGACTTACAGAGGACAGAAACAAAGAGTGATGAATATTCTAATCTAATGTAAACACTCCTCGTATTATGATGTTTCTTAACGATATTTTGTAAACATGGAAAAGATCAAACTCTTTTCGCAACAGAAGCGAATGTCATTAATCACTAACAGGCTATTGGATTTTTTACAAAAGAGTCCCCTACTCAAGAGTTTGTATCCGTATCGGGATAATGTTACAGTTTGGGTCAGGTGGAGGTCTACGTCGACAATGTCAATCTTTGCCAACCCTCTACACCCCGAGCTAATAAGAGAAAATTGAAGAAAAAACGCTTATGAAAACGTAAGCCACTTCAGATATAAATTAACATCCAAAAAAGGATATTTTGTTTGAGATATATTCTGATATAGCTGATATATTCTGATATAGCTGACTAGTTTGGCCTTAACAGTTTAATATATGAATGTATTATGTGTATGTAAATACTTATGTATTGTGTGTGTTAGTGTCATTATCACTTATTGTATATGTATTATTAAGTAATGATGATTCTAATGTTATTAATATAAGCACTCTGGGTATATGATATCCTAGTATGCTATATTTTTCATAAAATCACATAACTTTCTGTTCATCTATGATGTTTTATCTCTGTATCGCCCTAAGGTTGACTGGGAGAAAATGCCTACGGCATTAAGTCCGCCTTTGTCACGTTTGTGCATAAAGTATAAATAAATGACACCGAATGTACAAAAAAACGAACTGACAACTTTCTTGATTACAAGTCATAAAGATCATAAACTTTTTTGAAATATATAGGTATGTTGCCTTGTGATATGCATTTATAATTAATAATAAAATAAAAATCATACTCGTCTTGTTCAAGTTACAATGTAATGCAAGATTTAAAATACATATGAAATAAACACCTACACACATTTCATCTTTCTAATTTAACTTTGTGTAACCAACATTACAAACTGCGACCACAAATTGGCAGTAACAATAAAGTTTCTCTCCTCGGGGGAAATATGTCTTGGAACTAACAACAAAATTTAATCTAGAGACTGATTTTAAAACTACTAAGAAATGAACCCCATATTTGATGCAATTTTTATAAAAGTTATTTATTTTTAAGTATATTATTTTTATACAAACCACACACATAAACGAAACTAAATAAAGGGTGGATCAGATATGCCAGAAACCGGCGGGTTGCTTTGAAAGGTTTAATGACTTGATAATAGAAGGCTCATGGTATATTTAAGTCTGTGTATCCCTAAAGGGAGATAGAAATGAGATTATTACACATATATCTAGATATGTAAATATATATGTAAAAATCCGGTTATGTATGTATGTTTATATTTACAATTTTATGTTAAAATACTTACCAGCTTTATGTACCAGTCAATCTTTAGGTTACTCAGGAACACATTGCATGAGGACAAAACGAAATTTCTTTCAGAAAGTTACACAGATGCTATACCCATAATTTTTTAAGAGTTCTTTATTTCTTAAGGGTTCCATTATCAGATCCTACCTTAGTAGCATTGGGATCAACTAGATTGTTACTATCAGAGCAAGGTTACAATCATGTACCACCACATAAACATGGAACCAAAGACCGTGTACTATACTAATATTGTTTATTTGTTATTAGGCATCTCCAAGTAGACCACAAGGTGAAAGTGGTCAATGGAAGATATTCAGCAGTAGCGTCGGTGACATTAAACGACGCAGATCTGCCGTCGCCGGCGGAATTTATCTGTACACTCAGAATACCTCAAGCAAAGTACGCTGTAAGAAAAGAAGCTATTTATTATCCAGGTAAGCTTTTACTTACATTGGCGATATTTTTGATGTTCATTTATGATGTAGCTACCTGATCTGATAGGGCCTCATGTACCATCGATAGCGGATTACAGTAGATGGTACGACAATAAAAAATACCATTAACTTTAAAACTAATAAAAAATATTTTAATGGGTAGAATAGAAATAGAATTATACACTAGTAGTTTCGAACCTAACAGGCATCCAAGGTCACACTGACACCACCACGGCAGAACGCTTCCCTCTCTCACACTTGAGATAATAGTCCGAAACCCGTCGTGCATTCCCGAAATATAGAGAGAAAAAACATAAATTAATGGAGTGTGCCAAGAATGATATCGAAAGAAATTATTTGATTAAGGAGTTAAATATTATAATCTATAAAGCATTGAGGCTAAAATGATTTATAGATTGGCATCACTTTAAGGCATTTTATATTACTTTGCATATTTAAATTATATTGTATAGGCATAATAATTCTTTATTTTATTATTTATAGATATATGCACTAGCATCTAAGTTATGATAACATATACCGAAGTTGTTTTGTAAATTATGTTTAGTCGGCAATGGAATTGACATGAACTGAGTTCAAAAATTCCTTAACAATAAAAGAATAAAAAAAAGTAAATTATTAATAAATAGAAATAAATAATATTTTGAAAACTCGTCCCAAATTCACAAATGTACGAGTATTTAAATGTAGCAAGTGAACACTAATTCCATTTATTTATTTTTATATAAAAAGCAGAATGTTGTCATGTCAATAATGTCATAGTGTTTGCCTCGCTTAGGTAGACGTCTGTTCAATTAGGTGAGGCCTTCAAAGGCCTCACTTAATTTAACAGACGTTGTCTCTAATGTCAGTATACGAGTATATTTCGGAATTCTTTTTGAATGACACTGTATAATATTATTCTTGCGATCCTTTACGAGTCCGGAGTAGATTACAATAAGAATATTTTTTTTTACGAAATTTAGGAGTTCCTATTTAAGTATTAGTTTACTAGTCAAGTTTTGATTGCTATTGTTCACTAGTCTTTAATAAATATTATTAAGGCACTTAATAAGAATTCAGATTGTGGAGAAAAGAGTTACTTTATCTTTTTAGATCAGGTAAAACCAATTCATAGTCAGAAAGTAAGTACTCAATATTGTGCCTCTATTTGTTACTTTGGGAAAATCTATGCCGATAAGGACTCAAAGTTGATTTGATTATTTAGACTTAAATACTGAAGTTATAAAAAAATATACCAACCCGTCTGGCAATGGTGGTACCCGTGGTTTAGTATGGAAAAACCTCCTTTCTTAGGAGATGCCTATGTCTAGCAGTTTACTGTTAAAGTCTGTTGATGATGATGATGAACACTTATGTAATATAACTTTCGTTTAGAAAATGATAAAAAATTGACGCAGATAGCAATATCTAAACATAAATTGACCGTGTAATAATTACTATCGTTAGATGATTGATGAACTATGAAAAATTACTATGAGCAAATAAGTAGGAATAGGCCCTACTATGGATGTTAGTTATTAATGAGCATTATAATTAGACTGAAAAGTCGTTAAGAATTACTCGTACATTCAATTCAAATTCAAATTTTTTTACTACAAAATATTCGTTAGGTCTGTAAAATAAAACTACTGAAACGACTTCATGTACATTGTTACATGTTAAATTGTTACGTTTGATTTGAAATCCAAAAATATTTTAGTCCTGGAAGTAAGGGAGTGGAAATCAATATTCATCTACGTAAGAGTGCTTCAACGGAGTAATCAATTTCGATATGGAATTTTCAGTTAAATTCTTTAACAGATTTACTATGTTCCTTTTTTTTTTGTTTTATTATTAACCTTTAAATATTATAAATAACACCTGTTTGATGTTTGAGTTTATTGTCTTTGACTAACAGGGATCCTGTTTACTGATCCTGATTTCGCTTACTGATGACTGACAAATTTTTAACCTTGGCCTTTTTAACTAACCAATTTATTTATAAGAATTAATACAGTTTTTAGCGAGGCTTTAAAATTTCAATTCAAAAAAGACTAGTATAATAATAATACAAGATTCGCTAAATAGTATACACTTAAATGTATGTACATTATTTGGTATGATGCAAACTTGATATTTTACCCCCAAGCCATTATAGTGTACTAATTTTATTATGCATAAAAATTTAACTTAATCCTAAAAGTTACAAAATATAAAATAAAAACAACTATTATGCTAAAAACTTGTACTTTACGATGCTGATTTTATTAATTTTATGTCATAATGGCGTCGTCCTAAAACTGTTTAATACATAATGAAATATGAATAAAGAATAATGTAGTCTGGTTGTTCAGAATTCGTAATGTAGCTAAGAATTTGTTGATTAGGTTAGTTTTCCCACTTAATGCGTATTTTGGGTCTGAATATAACAAAAGCATCAGAAGTAGGACGAGGCTTCTCTTTTCCAAGACACTTTCTGCCTCTTCGTGTCTTAAATACCTTTGAAAGTATTCCCTAAAACTGTTAATTACGCCAAAGAATTGTTGCCAAGACTTTATGTGACGACAAATAATATTATAGCAGAATCCCAAAAACGAAAAGAATAAGGAATGAGAATGGGTATATTTTTTACAGAGACCCATGAAAATAACAATTTTGCGGCATAATTTTCAAGAGGGTCGTTGTAGCTTTTTATCAGTAGAAAGTTTGTGTAGGCAGCTATCTAAAGTACATGAGAGGAACGTTTTCTACAGTCCTCGTGAATAATTTTATGCTTCGTTAACTCCATTGTGGAGGGCGCTTAATAGAATATCGGTGGGCGTTCAAACATTTTTTTTCTCAGCGTTTGCGTCTTATGATCCCTAATGAAAAGTCAACAAGCCCTAGTTCCACAATATTACCTTAAAAATATCTTACTGGATCGGACATTGAAAGATGGATTATTATGATAGATTGAGTTTTCTACTTACTCTAGTACAGAGGTCTCGAGGGTAAGGAACAATTCATTGTGTGTGACAAACTATTGGATGTTCTTATAAGATTTGACTCCCATGATGTTCTAAAAATAAACTTTATTTATTTTGATTAATGTATTCGCAACCATCGAATGACTCATCGATCAATCTATCGAGTTGAACATTTATAAATTGTGAGTTTCTTCAAAGCATTCATACACGAATCCGCTGAAGGAACTTATTACTTTCACTTGTTACTTAATTTTGATTAAGAAACATTTTTACTCACTTAATGATTGCAAACATTTTAGGCATTTTCAAAGGAAGCTAAACATTTTAGATGCAATTTTGTTGTTTCTTAATTTTTAGTAATTTTTTTATTAGAAATGTATTTTATGATTATTTGTAAATTTAACTGTATCTTGTCTACAAGTGATACTATTTAAGTAATCTTATATATCTAGGTAGTATAAAATACAAATTCTAATTGTGTTCCATTGAATATTTAGCATACTAAGGCGGCATTTAAATTGAATGTTTAACCATCATCACACAAACAAATGATTCACCGTCTTTGAAATTACAATTAAAAAATTACAGTTTATAATCATTAGAAGGAATTAGAAAGAGAGAGATTCAAAGTCAATCCAGACTCATTGTCTCCAGCTTATACAGCTAATCCTATAAAATACATTTTTTTTAGGTGGACTTAATTTTAATAATATGAAGTTTTTTTATTCCAAACCAATACAGAGTTCTCAACAGTTGCAGTTATGTAGTAAAGTTAAAGAGTTGTCTCTATCACAGAACTACAGATCCTTACTACCAATATGTAACTTTACTGGCAATCGATTGACGAGAACATTAATTTTCTTAAATGAAACACAACTTTTCTTAAAGGCACAAGTACGAACTGATCTTACGACTGATTTATATTCGATCTTACAGCAATATTTGTACAAACTGAAGCCATCTCTTTAGCCTCAATTATTTTTTGACCTAAATATAACTTGAAAAAAATGACTATTTAATTAACTATTTCGACTTGAAAACAATTGAATAAAAATATTTAAAAATAAAATGTCTAACATCGTCTCCAGATTTCAAAGTTATAACATAGTTGTTAATCTGATCATACACGGATTCTGAAGTAATAAATATTTCAGTTTATGCTGCAAGAGAGGAAGCTCGAGGAATATTTACTTCAGCTATAACCATTATTTTTGCCGTATTAATAAATTGTAGAATGCAAAGATAAAATCTCGAATGAGCCAGCTTAATTTAATGAACAAAGTTTTGCTCCCATGCTTCGAATAAATCTTTTGCAGCGTATATAAAATTATTATCGTTATGGAAAGTTATGTTTCACAGTATTCGTAGTTAACAGTTCGTCATTTATAAGAAATATAGTATTATTTTAATATTTTTGATTAAATTAATTAATAATATAATAACTGCTTTTTTTTATTCAAAGCAAAAAAAAGTCATTCTGACTCCTTTAAAAAAATATCGGCACAAAATTATCTCGAGTCAATTTATAACATGCTTTACCTGACGATGAAGCTCATTAATATGGCATGAAAGCAATAATTTATAAAACCCCAAATATTAAGGTGATAAATATTAATATTACCCCCCCAAATATTAATATTACCAACTGCTTTAATATATCATCATGGGGTGCCATCCTCAAAATGAAGTTTGGAGGTCAGCAGACGGTACACCCCTCGATCATGAGCGGCCTCCTTTAGTTGGCGATATCGCAGTCCGGTCCAGGCCACGATGTCATCTATCCACTTCCTTCGTGGTCGACCTGCTGGCCTCCTGCCTGGTATTTTTCCTTCTAACAGAAGCCTCAGGAATTCATGTTGCGGGCCCCTTTGTATGTGTCCAAAGAAGGCCACCTTCCTTTTCGCTATAACCGCCATCAGTTCTCTCCTGCACTTGGCTCGCTCCAGCACCTCTACGTTGGATGTAAAACTAGTCCACGGAATTTTAAACATCTTCCGCAATAACCACATCTCGAAGGCTTGCAGTCGGTTACATATTTCTTTCCTTAAGACCCACGTCTCACACCCATACAACAGTGTGGACCAAACGTAGCATTTCATGACGCGGTGCCTCAAAGGAAATGGGATTTTTGGGTCGATAAAACCTTAGACATCTTGAAGAAAGCAGTCTTAGCTTGTCTTATTCGACATTTCACCTCTTCCAAATGGTCTAGGTCATTCGTAAAGTATCGGCCAAGATATTTAAACCCACCAACGCCTGCCACATCTACCCCCCGAAGCCTTATATTTGGAGTGGGCATCATTGTCTTCGCTATAACCATGGTCTTCGTTTTATGAACATTAATTGACAAACCCATAGCTTCTCCCGCAGTTGCTACTTCATCTAATAAAGTTTGCAGTCCGGCTTCTGAGTTTGCGATAAGCACTGTGTCATCTGCATATCTTATATTATTGACCAGCAGTCCATTGACGCGTATTCCCTCTCTTTTATCGCGTAGTAACTCTGTAAGGATATCCTCTGAATATAGGTTGAAAAGAAGAGGGGAAAGTATGCACCCCTGTCTGACACCTCTAGCTATCGGTTTCCAGTCTGACAACATCCCTTCGATCCGGACTGCTGCTTCTTGTTTCCAGTAGAGGTTGCCAATAATTCTGAGATCCTTTCAATCTAATCCCTTCCTTTTCAGAACTTCCATAAGCTTAGAGTGCTGGACGCGATCGAATGCTTTCTCATAGTCTATGAAGCACAGATACACTTCTTGCTGGTGTTCGAGTGCTCGCTCTGCCAATGTGTTGACGGCAAATATAGCCTCCCTTGTGCCCATGCCGGCTCTAAAACCGAATTGTTGCGGACATAAGGTATCCGCGCACTTGTTCTTGATTCGGTTATAGATAATTCTCAGCAACACTTTCATGGTATGACTCATCAAGCTTATCGTACGGTGATCTGAGCACTTGACCGCTCTTGGTTTTTTGGGAATTGTGACAAAAGTGGAGCGTAGAAAGTCATTTGGATTCACGCCCGTATCATAGATTTTGTTGAACAGGGATACCATGCTGGCTTTGGTCTTATTTCCCATGTGTAGTAGCAGTTCCACTGGTATCTTGTCCTCGCCCGCAACCTTTCCCGTCTTTATTTCATTCAAAGCGTAGTCAAGTTCTTCCAGGAGTATAGGTGGTCCCGTCATGACATTGTCCACTTCTTGGTCGGGTCTGATGTCTTGAAAGAGTTCGGTTATATACTCTTCCCACCTCCTTAAACGGTCCTCTGTTTTAAGGAGAAGTTTCCCATTTGAGTCCACGATGGCGTGAGGGGCCGAGGGTTGGTTGCCCATAGACATAGTTTTCAGAGCCTTATGCAACTCACCATGTTGATGTGTAGATTGCAAATATTCCATCCTTTGACACTGGTCTCGCAGTTCATTCTCTTTTGCTTCACGGATTTTGATTTGAAGTTGGTCATTGAGCTGTCGATATTCTTCAGGATTTAGTTTACTTTCTCTTCTTTTGTCCAATAGGTCTAAAATCTCATTAGTGATCCAGTGTTGCCTTCTCTTCCATACCCTGTACCCAAGTGCTTCCGTTGCCGCTTTTGTAAGAGCTGTTTTAATATTTCCCCAATGCGATTCGATGCGATTCGATTTAATATATAACACTCATAATTTATCTGCTCATGTTCTAAGTTTATTTTGGGTCGGTGTGATAAGGAACTTTGAACTGGGCTTTGGCTAATTTCTTTTATTTTGCCAATCTTCCCTGGGGATGTAATGGTTAAGGTAGTCAGGCAGAACGAGGGTATTTAAGACTGCAGCTGATTTAGGACGTCGGGTACTTGTCTGACGGTCCTTTCATTAGAGACCTCTGAAAAACAGGGCAACTTTTGATTCTTTCCTCTTCTTTATAATAGATAACTCCCACACTCGGGGACTTAACAAACATTCTTGAAACCGACACTTGAACACCCAGACTTAGAACAACAATTTGTGAATCACACAGTGTTGTCCCATGTGGAGATCGAACTCACAACACTCAGAGCATTAGAAATCGGTAACTATAGTTTAACCGTTTAAACTACTACGCTATTCAAGTAATCTGGTTTCTAAAACGTTTAATTTGTTTCTTTTCCCTTACAGGTCCAATCAGCACTACACCAGAGATGCCTACGGCAGCAGATATGCAGTTTGCGGCAGATAGTTCTACAGGTATCGTATACTCTTACCCTTTTGTTTAAAAATAAACATCTTCAATATAAAAGTCTTGCTGAGTATTTTAAAAATAAAGGCTAACAAAGGCTTTCTGGTCGTAATTATAGCAGAACGAAAACCAAAATTGTTTGTAAAGGAATTGTTTTGTAAAGTTACATGTAAAAGAGCAATGGATAATTACTTAATTAGCTTTGTAATTGTTTTATTAATTATTTTATAAAGAAACACATACATACATTATATAATTTTTTTACTGTTAAAATTAAATTAAACACTTTTTCTCTTATGGTCTTATTTTATTTTAAGATTTTGTAATGATACTGCTGTAGTTATTTTGTTTTAAATTCATACGATCAACATCGGTTAACGATTACTTACAATCATCATCGACAGCCTATAATAGTCCACTGCTAGACATAGGCCTTTCTTTAAAAAAGAGGTTTTGGCCTACTATACCACGGTGGCCAGACGGATTGGTATAGAGTTTGTTTCAAGTTTTAGTTCTCTTTGCACTGCTGTTGTCCTGCACTAAAAAATGCACTGTGTATTGGTTTACAAACTTGGAAATATATTGGACGAAAATATAGTTAAAAAGAAAGACGAATTAGGCCCACTTAGATTTTATTAAAGAATTTTGTATCTTGTTTCGTTATCATATATAATAAATCTACTAACTCTTTAAATTAGAAGTTATCAGATTTTATTTACCTAAAGTAAACTAAAGTACATGTCTTTTTTTTTCAGAATTACACATCTACACCACGCTCGTGATAGCTTTATCAGCATTAGCTCGCATCCTCATTACATAAAATATGTCAAAATGTATATTCGTATTGATGAAAGTATAAATAGCGCCATAGTTACATTTTATTCAAACGCGTCTCATGTTGAGACCACCGTACTGCTCCATGGTCGTATATTTGCAACATAATTAAGACATACACCTCACAGCATAATTTTCAAATGTAGTATAAGGCTTAGTGTTACTAACACACTCTGTATAGTTCTAGTCATACCCCAACGTAACCAAAAAGAAAACCTAATAAATGTTTGCCAGGAACAACTTTAGGTCTAATTATTGTCATGCAAAACATAGCTTTATGTGTAATACTACAGTACTAAGTTATAAAAATATTTAAATGCAAGAGATAATAACTGTATAAAATTTTAGTAGGTATAAATGTGTTTATATTTCCACTATTTAATAATGTTTTTATTTATAAATTCAGTGGTGTGTGTATAGAAGAATTTCTTGGAAAGAAAAGGTACAGACGAAGTTCATAGTTAGCTGTTTGGTCATGGGCCTAAAACGGAATTTGGGAAATTGTGAATGAAAAAGAATTATAAATGATAGTTACAAGATGTGGTTTATAACTAAATTTAATTCAGTAAAATGTCTATTTATAGCCGAGAAACATGGTCACTGTCGTAAATTATTTATTTGTCAGAGTTTTTTTATTAATGACCTTACATTTAAACAATCATGGATTTTTATTACATTAAAATAAGATATTTACTAGTGTTGTGCTAGTAAATATCTTATTTTAATGTAATAAAAAAAACCATGATTCTTTAAATGTATGTATAAAACAGGAATTGCATTTCTCCATTCGACTTGGATACATAATTCACTTACAGCAAGATGTAAAATGATTCTGATCGATTTGATAAATTATATTAGTACGAATATGCTTTCTTCATTATTATAAAGACTGCAGTTTTGCACTCTAATATATGAATCAGCTTTTCTCTAAAGAAAAGTCTCGATTTGTTTGAACATCTTTTTAAATTCTTGCAGTATCTTGAAAAGAAATAGCTCAAAGAAAACTTTAATTTAAAGACGTTTAAAAGTTTCCAGGAGTTATTTTCTTTTACTGTATAACTTTATAAGTTATTACTCGACAAGTGACATCACATTTATTGTTATCTAATTTTAATCGGAACCTCCATCATAAATATATGTGATTTGCTGGTCATTGTCAGACAAAATATGGAAAAAATATAATATAATAATTGAAAATGTCAAAATTAGTATATTGCCAAATTGAAATGATCCAGTTGATATACACGAACCTTTCTCTCATTCTTATCTATTTCTTTAATTACTGAAACTATTTCATAATTTTATCTTTATTAACCGCGACTTAATGAACTTAAAGACGATATACGTATAGCCTGTACAAAGCCAAAAATAATAATTGTAAGTTTAAAACACAACACACTCTAGCTGTATTAAGAAATGATTCAAAACAAATGAATTGTGTCTGTAATATATATGCCTCTCTCCCTGATCGGTGTCTCATGTATGAGGATCGTGATCAGTATCAGGGTTGCATCTGGACTAGACGAATTGGAGGGAGTTACTGGTTAACTGGTAAACTAGTTTCCAATCAAAGTGTCTCTCATGATCATATACAAATTGACGATTAGTCCTATACTTGTCTGTAATATATGCGTACGATGTTTCTTTTTTTATTAGAATAGAAAGCAATTTTTTATCACATCTGGTTTAATTACGAATACAAAAACGGAAACATTATTTCTAGTTAGAAAGGCACTTGTTTAAACATTTGGAATATTATGATTACTTTGTGTTCGAATGAGGGAGAAAGGATTCCCTTTGTAAACAGGGTATCGAATTTAGTTCACTATGATTTTCAAATTTTACCACGGTTTGGTATGAATTTTGGACAATATTGTAAAAAAGAGTTTGCCCTTATTCGTTAACTTATTCTTTGGCTCAATGCTGGAATGATATTAAACTGACAGAGCACCAAATTATCTTTTGTAATGCTACAATAAATAGTTTCCTTTAAAGCACTTATTAGTTTTAAGACAAAGATGAAACAAAGTTTATGAATAAGGGCCCAGTGTAAATATTTGTATTGATTAAAATCGTAAGTTTGTTCTGTTCATAGTCTAAGATTATAATTGTAATATTTGCTGTGCATATTGCCGTTTATGGATAAGATCCAGTCAAGACTTTTATTGTGAAATTTCCTAAAATAAAAAGGATCGTTGTGTATTCGTAGTTTTATTTGGTATTTATTTCCATGTCGGTAGCATACCTTTGGACAGCAACGCAGACTTCTTAATATTGTATTTAAATGCCTTTGATATCTAGATGATTTACAGCTATACCGTTTTACTCGTGTGTAAATTTAGGGTTGGCCTAGTTTCGACTGGACAGTGTCTGATGCGGTAGGATGTTTTATTGCTTACACCTTTGTCAAGGCACAAGCAATGAAAACACACAATAGATATAGTCGAGCATCACTCAAATTTACAGATAGGTATAACTGTATATATTGGACATCTAGCCGATTTAAATGGCGAAATGTTTTGACCGTTATTTTCCACAGGTGTAAGCTTGTAACCAACACTATTAAAAATTATGGCTTATTCCCAACGGCCAACACTAAAACTGCCACCAGTGGGGGTAATACTGCATTACACAATAAATATTACATAATATGTCTCTACTCTTTTTCATCACTGCAACAAACACAACAACATTAAAACTAGGATAGAATTTATTTCTACCACCTATGAAGTTGTGAATTAAATTCGTAGCCATTTAGTACAAATATGTGTATGCATGACTTTTTATATTGCTCTGGGTGTATTTTGATAGTGTGATATTTTGTATAAAAATCTTTGATACGTTGATATACTTAGTAAATTTTTTACTTAGTTTCGTCTAGATACCACAGTCTTATGTCGGAGAGTATTTTTATTTTTACATAATTATAATCAGTGGTTAACCAATTTTCATTTGTGAAAAATGTATACAGTATTAATCACAATCATATTAGCAATCATCATATTTAAACTGTTGTAATGAATAAAAAATGAATGATTTTAAATAGCTTCCCTAGTGATCTTGTCTTCATCATTCCTATTAGTAGACTAATAAAGCTAACAGAAAGCTCTATTTATCAAATCCACTCCAATAAATATAAGAAATCAAACGACACATCAATCTTTTCAACACAACCAGACAACGATTCATTCACAGATATTCGTACAAAATTAAATCATAGCATAATTTGTATGAGCGATCCATCAAACCGAAACCGGGTCAGAAATAGAAAACATTTCCCGATGCATTAGACCATTCCCTGGAGTTTCGGACTTTCCCGTGAATAATAGATACGTAAGGCTCTTTCCCGAACGAATTATACGATTAAATTATTGAGCGCGCCACCTCTGTCTGTGTTTTGTGTGTAAATCGCCTTCGTTACGTATTTTGGCTGTAGCTTATGTGAAGTCAAAATGAAAGTTTCGTGCTATGGTTTGACGCTCATAAGTAATTTGGGCTTGAATGATTGATCGTACAGTCAAAGCGAGGGTAAACAGATAGTCTTTTATGCTTCCCTAAATTATATATAAGCTCGGTTTATATCCAGCTAACATACTTTTCATGTTCAATGTTACGGTAAATTCGGTACTTATTTAGTCTATATAATATTTAAGCTCTCATGTGAACTTGTAAATCTGACAAGGATTTGTGCTTTGAATGAATAGCAGGTTTAATATATACTCGTATATGGATAAAAGCAGCAAAAGAGGGCCATACAAAACAACTCGGACACAGAGTAGGGTTGTTCCAAGGTTGCGGCTTATCACCAGTAGTATTTAATACAGTTATATATATAATAATAGACAATATCGAAACATACGAAAAGAGGCAGGGCTACCGGTTTAAGGCCAATGGAAAATATACGGAATCCATCTTAGCATTCGCAGACAACCTCGAGATCCTCACGCGTAACCCGAAGCTGTGCCAAGAACTACTACGTAAGTAAGAATGAGGACAAAACCTAGGAAATGCTATTGCCTTTGTCTGGATATTCTTCTATCTCTAAATCAAAATATCCTATTACATTTCCAACATCCCGCGTTATAGGAGGATAGATAATAAATTTAATTTAAAATCAACTATTCTAAGAATCGTTCAATCTCCACATAATACGATTCCTCGAAATATCTAATAAGACCTATATCATATTTAAATCGATTAGATCTATACATATATTGGCAGCCATAGATCCGATAACAGCTAGTTTATGAATGAAAGATATTTCACATCCAATGCGATATACAACGCTTGTGATTCAGAGCGAAGCAGTAAGTTCTACGTGAGCTACGCACTCACCTGTGCACACAGATAGACTGAAAATGGAAGAACAAACTTATTGGAAAATGTAGAAACGAGGTCAATGATATAAGCGTCTTTTTGTTTGATTTATATTGAACAGTTTATTGATACATAGGTATATTTAGATTTCTTTACAATGTTTTATCTTAACGTTTTCCCGAGAAATAATAAGGATTATATTGATCCTTGTAAAACAACGAGCCTATTATGTAATCCAGTCCAGCAACTGATTTTTTTATTGTTTGAAAGACAAATCCTAGGAATAAATCCGCGGGGAACTTCACAAACATACATGCAACGGACACAAAGAACACCGAGACTCAAAAATCACACAAAGTGTTATCCCATGTGTTGATCGAACCCACAATACTCATCGCAGTAGGAACTACTACGCCATCCGATGCAGATATTGGTATCGTGGTATCAGAGCGATGATAACAGAGGGGGCTGCAGTTTAATTCTCTATTATTTTGACGACCGGATTGCGAACTGCTATTCCAAAGATCACGGGTTCGATTCCCGCTCAAGTGAAACATTTGTGTGCATGAACATGTAATGTTTGATTTGGTCTGGGTGTTTCTATGTATAATATGTATGTATTTACAAAAAAAAAGTATATACGTGTTTATATCAGTTGTCCAGTACCCA